TCCAAAGACTAACAGCTTCTAGCTTGTGATGTCCCTGGGGCACCACTTCTGCTCCAGTGCTTGACTACATAGGCCACTACTCACAGACCCAAGGGGAAACTGGTCTCCAGGACTTTCCCTCCCCACCCCACCCCCATTTTTTTTTCAAAGACCTCAAAGAGAAGAACCACACTGAAATCAGTGTCTCAGAACTCAAAAGCTAACACTTAACCTGGAGCCTCTCTTCACCTACTTCAAAAGCCTAAAAGAAAGTCACAGTTCAGTGTTCCTGTCACCTATAGAAGACTCCCTCACTCCCTGTTAACCCTGAAAAGTTCAGAACAAAACAAAGAAGAGAATGGAATCACCATCCTATGACTGTGCCCTTTCCTCCCATAGCAAAGTCTACAGAAATGCAGACCTCTCTTCCCAAATTCACCTACAAGCTCAGTCACAGGGAAAAAGGAGCTGATCTTCAGACCTCCCAAAGGGCCAGGGCCACGTAATCACCATAGGGCCCCGAATTCAGACTTACAGGCACACTCAGCAAGGGTGTCCGCCAACAGCAGGAACAAGGCAGGAAATGGCTCAGCCTCACTTATGAACCTTTGCCCTGGGAGAGGCAAAGAGAGGGAGAGAGTTGGGGGCAGGGATACACCTGTAACACCTACAGCTGACAGAGAGAGACCAAACAACCTTCTAAGAACAGGTCAGTGAAGTTCTAAGGCTTCTCATCCCCTTACAAGAGCTCTTCCTAGGCTCTGCCTTTTACTGACCTAAGAGGCAGCATTGTGCTGTTACCCTAGACGCTTAAAGTGAGAAGATCTGACTAAAACCTCGTAGGAATACAAAAGGAAAAAACAAACAAACCCCACCTCATAAGAGCCTGCAATCTAGAGCTCAGATTACACATATCCTCTCTGCTAGTCTATCCCTCAGTCTATACCTATAAAACAAATGGGATATCAGTGTATGGTTCCAACTCACTCCTCCTCTCCCCAGTACCTCCTCTGCTTCTTGCAGGCATCTCCCCACCTGACTCCAGCAGAGCCCTCATAACACAACGTGAACTCTATCACATGTTGACTCCCCTTACCAAAGTAAATCCCATGTTGTACATGGCTTTCTCTCTCCTTGCAAAGAGGGTTGCACCCTCTTTGTTGGAGAGGGTGACAATGAAGTCAAAGAGGAGGTACAACTGAACCAGATCCTAATGGATGAGAAAAGTTCACTGGGCAGAGAAGAAAAGGCATTCCTAGAAGAGAAAGGAGTAATTACAAAGATTTCAAGGCTCAAAAAAGTAACATGTTTGTTAGGGAGCTGTGAACAATTTATTCAAGCTAGAACACAGAGCAGAGAGTGGCAAGAGATGAGGCTAGACATGAGTCGAGGCCAAATGATGCCATATTAAGGAATTTGGATGTTATCCTACAGAAGACAAAGAGCCAAAATTTTTAAGCATAAGAGCTCCATGATTAAATTTGTATTTTTAGAAAGATCATTCCAGGGACGAATTAGAAAAGAGCAAGTCTGATACATATACTACTATGTATAAAATAGATAACTAATAAGAATCTACTGCATGGCACAGGGAATTCTCTTTACTGCTCTATGGTGACCTAAATGGAAATTCAAAAAAGATGGGATATATGTATGGCTGACTCATTTTGCTGTACAGGAGAAACTGACACAGCAGTGTAAAGCAACTATACTCCAGTAAAAAAATAAATAAAAAATAATAAAAATTAAATGACCGAAAAAAGGTCTGAAGGCAGGAGACTATCCTGGGGAAAAAGTCCAGATAAGAGATGAGAAGGAAGTAAACTAAAGCCTTAACTGTGAAGATATAACAGAGGAGATGAAGAAAATAGAGATAATATAAAAGGAAATGTATTAAGATTTTAATGACTGACTACATAGAGGGGGTGAAGGAGCAGAAAGATGGAAGATGACACCAAAGTTCTTGCCTGGACTGCTATATACCATATGGTACAAAAGCAGACATTCAAAGCAAAGACAATGAGTCCTGTTTAGAACATGTTAACTATGATACTTGTAAAGATATACAGGAGATCACTGAGTAAATATGACCGGAACATAGAGAGAGACTAAGACTAGATACAGAGAAGTAATCATCTAATTATGATATATTTTTACATTTCACATTCTCTCTCTAAATTGAAATTATCTTTTCATGTGTCCACCTCTCCCAATCAGATTGAAAATTCCTTGAGACTTCAGAGGACCACATCTTATTTATTGACATCTTGTTATCTCATAAAATGTGAGCATCACAAGGGCAGACTATAGTTTGAGGCTTTAGTTTACTTCCTTCTCATCTCTTATCTGGACTTTTTCCCCAGGATACTCTCCTGCCTTCAGAAGTATCTGCTGAATGAATAAATGAATTCATAAATGAATGAATTTGTCCTTCCAGCACTTAGCAGAATGCTGGCACACAGCAGAGGTGGACTAAATGGTTACACACAGCACTCCAAACATGTTTCTATCTCTACATCATCATCCTCATCTATGTTTCATTTTCTCAGATCTATCACTCAGCTGTATATCATAAAGCAAAACCCATTACACTTAAAGCACTACAATTCAACAGAGATTCAGTATAGCAAACAGTAAGCTTACCAACCTAGTGCATTCTCCAGAACGATCAAGAATGCACAGTCCCTAAGAACCCTCTGACATATGACTTGACTGACCTACCATTATCACAATGTGACCCAAGTATTACGGACAACTGTTCCTGTTTTTACCACATTATTAAACAAAACCTTCAAACCTATGTCACCCTCAGTCTCTTTAACCTCTCTTGGAAACAGAACAACTACAAATCATAAAAAAAATATATTTTGCCAGTATAATGTCCTCCATGTCATCACAACCCTTCTTATAAATCATATGCTTTTTATTCCACATCACCTTCACTCTATGTTACAAACTTTTTTCCACCCCAAGTCACTCTCATGAGACCAAATCTGGAGTCCAGACTTTCTCTTGCTCCCCAGTTTGATTCTCCATCTATAAAATAAGAATTCCTGCCCTTATATACTTCACAGGGAATCTATATAATTCCAGCAAAACCTGAGATCACTATGCAATCCATATCAGAGAGTAATTCTGAGGAAGCAAGTGCAGTATGCTTCCTCAACATAATACAGCAGCCACACCATCATCCCTCTAAATTTCTGAATTTCATGAACCAGTAGAAATAGATTTTAAAGTTTTTAAAATAGGATCATTACTTTTTATTTTGACAAATAGATCAGTTTTTTAAAACCCATCACTTACTGTCACCATTACTTCATCACTGAGAAAGCACTTTAACACCAGAAGACTAGGAATGATAATCTAAGAATAAATTTATCTTTATGGAAAACTCATGTTCCATATGTTTTCTTTCTCTCCTTCCACCTTGAACAGATGAAAACTTTACCATGGACTAGCACTGTTTTTGACCCAACGTTTAGGAATCACTGCCCTAAAACTCTTTCATTATACATGTAAGTTTCATAGGGTTCTGTCTAGGTAAGATTGCCAAGGGTTCCACTACCATGAAAATCTGCTAGGTCGTCAGAGAGAAGCAATGAAAACATACCACACAATCGTTGTTTCTGAGGCTCAAATTCTTCAATAGAATGGGGACTTGGGCTGCTCCTAATTCTCAGAGAATGGTCTGTATAGGGAAGGTGTACCTCTTCCTGAGGTTGGGAAGGTATCTGCTCTGTGGCAGACTGTCAGTAGAGAAGGAATTTTAATAGTGTGGAAGTGGCAATTATCTGACTGCCAACCCAGCTTTCTAGAACATTCAAAATTTCCATGTGTATGTGGGTTGGCAGGGAACATGGGACCTGTAAAATGCTAATAAAGTGAACCAATTAACATGTCGTGAAGGGAGGAATGATTTCAAAGGGATAAGAGAAAAACTTTTGAGGGTGGTAGAAATGTTCAGTATCTTGAAAATGGTGATGGTTTCACGGATGTAAACATATGTCAGAACTCATTAAACATGTACATTTTAAATATGAGTAGTTTACTGTACATAAATTAGTTTTAATTTAACTGTAAGTCATCCTGTTTGGAAGTCTAAATACAGCGTTGTATGTAACAAGCCATATTATTTTTATGAAAGTAGAATTAGCAACTTTAAGCAGCTAGTCCAATACAGAAAGCAAGCCTCAAAGCCCCACAGCTCAGCACAGATAAGGAACAGCAGTGGAGTAAAGCTGCCCAGAATCAGGTGAAGAGGAAACAAACACAGGCAGTTATAGCCAAAAAAAATCTCTGTGACAGGGAACATCACCAAGTCTGCAGTCCCAAGAAATAACTTGAGGAAACGAGGAATTCCAATGATGACTCTGTTAAACAGTAAGTCTCAAAAATGATTTTCATTACCATTGTTACTATTGTCCACGACACCTTCATGTTTCGATCCTCCAAAATATGTACAGCCTATCAAGCAGAAGAGCGAAGTGCAGAACATTTCCACCCAAGCTATCCTACTCAACCTAAAACTTGCTCTCTCTGGGCAGGACACTCCATTCAGAACCGACCTCTCATCTTTATCGAGGTCTCACAATCCTCGTTCCTCCCTCCATGCCCTGCCCTCAGCTTCCTCCCGATTCACCAGCTGTCCGCCTGTTCCCGCCTTACCCTGTCTATTCTCCCTCCCAGCACAGGCCTCAACCCCTCCTCACTCTGGTCCCAGGGCTGTCCCTCACTCCTGCCCACAGGAGCCCCAGCTCCTCATTAAACCGTGTTCACAAGTCCCTTTCACTTGGCCCCTAAGAAAGCATCCCGGCCCTTCATACAACCCAGCTCCTTACTTGCCCACTCACCAGAGGCTCTAATCTTGCTCCCCTACCTTAGACACTCACACCCGGCCCCTCACCACATTCCAGCCCCTCAACCTGTCCCCTCACAACGAGGGCAGTCACCAAACCCGGTGCCGTCATTCCCCAGTCCCTCATCCCCTCTCGCGCCTTTCCGGGCTCTCTGGCCCTTACTTAGTGTTCACTCACAGAACCCCGACCCTGACCAGGCCCGATCGCCACCGCGGTGCTAGGTGAGTTCAGGCCGCCATCACTCCTCAGGCTCACCAGCCGCGCCCCGCCCCGCGCCACACGCAACTCGCGCCCCCGCGCACCACACGTAACCGCCCAGCGACGCACCGCTGGGCAGCGGCGTGCCAGCTCATTGGCTGGACCGGGCCAAAGCCAGAGCGTCGATGCTTGTTTCCTGGCAACGGCTGAGCGCAGGGGCGGGGTCGCCGACGGCATTCCGAGCAAGGAATACCGCCTCTTCCCCCCAGGTTCCGCCCCCTCGCACTTGCAAACCCCGCCCTTCTGAAGGACTCCCGCGTGTCACAGGGGAAGACCTCTGGGGAGGAGGAGGCCCGCGGGATGGAGGCGGAGCCTGAGGCGGAAAGGTCAAACCAGAGGGCAGAAGGCGGGACCTAAAGAGCGACGTGACTAAAAGAGGCAGGGAAAGGCCGGGGGCGGGGCTTAGGGCAGAGCTCTGGATGAAAGAGTGACTAATGTGATAAGGGCGGGGTCACGGGTCCTAAAGGCATTTACAGAGGAAGAGGGGGCGTGGAGGGGGTGGAGCTAACGCGGGGGGGTGGTCTAAGGGGAGGAGTTAGCAGGTGAGCTGGACCTGCGGAAAAGCAGAACCTTAGAGAAGGCAGGCAGCGAGTGGTCTAGCTCATTTCTTGAAGTACCTGCGGGAACGGCTTGGATAGGACCCAGGAGATGACCGCCCTTCGTTGGCTCGCCAACACCTGCTGCCTTGTGATACCTTGGGCACTATCGTTTTCAGTCTCTCAAGGAACATGGAGTAAGCGCCTCCTTTCCAGGCAGAATTCCAGATCAATTATAACCAGTCTCTGCCCTTCGGGATCTCAGCCTTTATAGACAATTGCAACTGTAATTGCCATAGAGGAGCAGTACTCCTCACACAACAACAACACACATCGAGGAGCAGCACTCCTGACACAAAACAAGTGTTTTGCGTGTTTGGAGAATGAGGGGGAAGAAGAGCAAAGGGGCCTAGGAAAGCCGTCTAGGAGAAGATGTCTGAGCAGTCTTTAGAAACAAGCAAGAGTAACATTGAGAAATGAAAGTTTCAGATAAGGTCTGCAGTTTAGTTGCAAGTATTGTATCGATGTTAATTCCCTGGATTTGATCACTGTGCTCTAGTTAAGATGATAACAGGGGAACACGAGTAAGGAGTTTACAAGGACTTTCTGTCCTATTTTTGCAACTTTTTTGTAAGCCTAAAATTAGTTCAAAAGAAAAAGTATTTAAAAATAAAAAGTAATGGAAGTTTCAGCAAAAAGGATCAGCACATAACAAGGCAAGAAAGAATGGACAACATGTGGGAGGTACTCTGAAAACTATCATTAGTACAGCTTGTCTGGAGCCTAGGGAACATGCAGAGGAAACACTGTGAGATGAGGTCGAAGACATGGACAAAGCTTTGTAGACAGTGTTAAGGAGTTTAGATTTTCATCCTTGGGATAATAGAGAACTATAAAAAATGTTATGATCAGATTGATAAGATCCAAATTGGAATAGTAAGGATGTAGAAAAAATGCATACATGGTTATTAGGTCACCTTGGCTTGATGTCTGGATGAATATGAGAGAAAGTAAGAGGAAAGATTAAAAACTGGACTGGTTTGCCATTTCCTTCTCCAGGGGATCTTCCCAACCCATGGATCCAATTCCCATCTCCTGCATTGGCAGGCAGATTCCTTACCACTAAGCTACCTGGGAAGCAAATACAAGCACAGGAAAAACTAAATGATAGGATTAAGTGTCAGTTAGTGATCACTGTTGGAAAAGTGCTGCCTAGAAGAGGGCAAAGTGGGGCTCTTGATGTGAGTGCCTGTTACATGACTGTGTTCACTCTATGGAATTCATCAAGCTGTGTACTTAGGAAATATGTACTTTTCTATATGTATGGTCTAGTTACTATGCACTGAATGCGTGAGAAGTCACTTCAGTCATGTCTGACTCTTTGCAACACTATGAACTGTAGCCTGCCAAGCTCCTCTGTCCATGGGATTCTACAGGCAAGAACACTGGAGTGGGTTGTCATGCCCTCCTCCAGGGGATCTTCCTGACCCAGGGATCAAACCTCATGTCCTAGGACTCCTGCACTGCAGGTGGATTCTTTGCCACTGAGCCACCAGGAAAGTCCTCTGGTTACTATGCTGTATAACAAATCATCCCAAACTTAGTAGGTAAAACAACGGTCATTTTATTATGCTCACAGATTCTTGGAATTCGTATAAGACAGGGCAGGAATGGCTTATCTCTGTTCCCTGATGTCTGGGACCTCATCTGGAAAATTCAAACATCTGGGGGTGACTTGAGGCTGGTGACTGAAATCATCTGGAGGCTTCTTCACTCACGTGTCTGATGCCTGAGACAAATGGGATAACTTGAAGGCTGAGCTCAGCTGAAACTGTCAAAGTACAGACACATGACTGTTCCTATGGCCTGAGCTTCTCACAACATGGCAGCCAGGTTGTAAGAGGCAGCATCCTGAGAGAGCTTCTGGACAGTGAGTGTTCTAAGAAAACCAGAAGGAAGCTGGTTGGCCTTTTATGATCTAGTCTCAGAAGCCACACAACATCACTCCTGCTTTACTCTATTGACTGAAACAGTCACAAGGAAGGAGAATCAAAGAATTTTTGAACATTTTTAAAAATTGTCACAATATTATACAATTGTAATAGTAACAATACTGGTGCTAAGTGTTTTGGCTGAAAGGCCAGTGATAGGGATCATAAGAGAAAGAGCAGATAGGGACGATAATGAGCTCAGTTAAAAGAGTAAATGGGCTACAGGTGACTGTGCAATATCTGAGTGGGGACATCCTGAGAACACTTAGTGGTATAGATAGGTCTGGAGCTCAAAGAGAGTTACTGGGAGTCATTAGATGGGAAATGAGATCCTGTGGGTGACCCAGATAGACCAGAGAGAGTTGAGAGGATAGAAAGAAAGTCCATCAGAGTCCAGGAAAAGCTCACCAAAACAGGAGGGATAGGCAGAGGGGCTTATGAAAGAGACTAAGAAGAAATAAACAGAAAACCAAGAAATTATGGTATCAATACAAGTCATGGGAAAAGCATATTTCAAGAAAATAAAATATACTGTTGTAGACCATAGATGTTTCTTCCAAGACACTCTCTGAAAACACAAATCTAGCCATATCACTTAACTGTGCAAAACATTTCATGCATTCTCCATTGCCTTTAGATAAGCTGCTAGCTTTATAACATGGCTGAGAAAGCTTTCCCTGAGCAGTCATCTGTCAACCATTCAGCCTCATCTTGCACCACCAACCTCTCAGATTCGCTACAAAAACCAATTGATGTTCCCCTAGTCACCTATGCTTTTTGAAATCTCTGTGCCTTAACATGCTCTTTGCACTTTGCCTGTAGCGCTCTTCACTTTTCCATCTCTACACTTAACTAACTGCTATTCATCCTACAGAACCCAGTCTCCATTGAGACCTTTCCTATGCACTGTAATAACTCGCTGTGTACCCACCTAATTGAGTACTCATCAGACTAATATATAATTTCTGATGCTTCCCCCTACTAGACTTCGAGTTTATGAAGGACTCCTTGGAATGTGTTTCATTCATCTTTTATCCCCAGTACTTTGCATAATTTTGACCTGGCACATAGCAGGTGTTTTGATTATGACTTTTTGATTGAGAAAGATGATATTGGTGAAAGGGGCATCAAGTTGAGGGAGAATTTTTAAGATTTTTTTTATTATTTTTTTCTGGTACGGGAGGTCTAAGCATGTTCACAGAAAAGGAAAACTGAAAGAGGTTAAGGATTTAGAAAACACAGGTAATAACTAGTGAGATCAGGCACAAGAGGTAACAGGAGGGGGATGAGGACCGAAATGCCACAGGATGGCCCCCAGCACACTCATGCAGCAGGAAGGGCATAGACAAGGGTGCAGATAATGGAACCAGAGCTCACATTGATATGACAGGCATTCTCTGTCCCTGGAGACTAGTTCAGCACCTGACATCTGACACAGCTGCCAGTACATAGCTGTTAAAAGAATAAAAAGTGAGGTTCAAGCTGGGAACTAGCACAAGGTAAAACAGAATGAATTCCTAAACCTACACAGGCAACCAAGTCTCCCCACTAGAAAGCCCTTATGTAGTTCAGCTTTGAGGAAGGTGGAGAGAGACAAAGTTCAGCCTCACCTCTGAGGCATACACCCCCACCATCTCCAAGGACCTCATTAGAGATGTTTAGTTGGATAGGTGTAAACCCTGGCCCTAGGAGACAGGGCGGAGCGCTGGAGCCACACAGCTTCCACCCCTTCAGTAGCGGCTGACTCTGGTGGCGTTGCTAAGAGCCTCAGAAGCCAAAGAGGGAGGAATTGCAGCTGGAGACCAAGCGCAGCTTCTTCCGGACAGGCAGGCCCTAGCCCCCACTTCCTGAAACCCCCTGCAGGCAGAGGCCGTGGATGTCTCATCCCCAGGCAACAGGCCACAGAACCATGAGCCAGGACAGCAAAGTGAAGACGAAAGAGTCCAGCCCTCCTGTCCTGACCAAGGCCAGGTGAGAGATCCTGGTCCCAGGTGTCAATCTGCCTCACCAGATGGAGCCTGATCCCTCCTTGCTGCCCCGGGTGGCAAGGGCAACAGGGAACCATGGATATATGAAACCTGATTTCTCTTGCCCACAGGAAGTCTCTACCTGTCCTGGACCCATCTGGGGATTACTACTACTGGTGGCTGAACACAATGGTCTTCCCAGTAATGTATAACCTCATCATCATCGTGTGCAGGTTTGGCGCTATGGGAAGGGCCCTAAGCAGAGACCAGGGATAGTGAGTGAGGCCCAGGAAGAGGGCGGGCCCTTGCTCAGGGCTGGTGTGGGGGGCAGCGCCAACGCAAGGGCCCAGGTTTAGTGCTCAGCGGCTTGGGGACAATACCTCACACACAGAGGGATCCCTTAAGCCAATCCCTTCTGTCCCTACCACGCAGAGCCTGCTTTCCCGACTTGCAGCGCGGTTATCTGGTGGCCTGGTTAGTGCTGGACTACACGAGTGACCTGTTCTACCTCCTGGACATCGTGGTGCGCTTCCACACTGGTCAGTGAGTCTCAGGACTGACACGTCCATGTTCCCTTCCTAAGGAAAGCCTCTTAGTAACAAGAAAGTGACCCCCTCCCTCATAGCACCGTCACATGTCTCTATGTTTACAATACCCCAGTGCTCACCCCAGAAGCCCTGGAG